GAATGTTTTAATTAAAATGAGTTTTTTTTTATAAAGGAAAGCTAATGAAAATAGCTTTAAAACTCTGAGTTTTAACTATAAGGACAAAATAAAGGTAAAATAAATAGTACTATAATTGATTTTTTAGTGTAAAAATGTGATTTTTCGTTAAAGTAAACAATACCGGGAGTTTTTCATTAAAGTTCATCTTTTATAATTGGTTATATAGTTAGTTTTAATTTAATTAATTATGTTATAATTTAATTAATCATGTTATAATGGTATTATGCTCCATGGGGTTTCGACTTCCAGTCGAAGAGAAATGGAGGTGACTAGGATCCCATGGCCTAAAGTGTGGGTGACATGCATACAAGTGCAAAGTGCACGTTACCACAATTTAAAGTAAACGGCTACAAATAGAAAAATAAAAAAAAGAAGTCTTTAAGAGAAGGGATCTCATTTTTCAAAAAAAAATAAGAACATCCTCTTAACTGTTAGATTTGGCTTTAATGAAATCATGTGGTTGAGATTATGTGTTTTGTAATTTAATCACAGTTACGTAATTTCATTAAAGTCAAATTTAATAGTCAAGAGGGAGTTCCCATTTTTTTTTTTTTAAATAAGGACTCCTTCCCTAAAAGGGGCTGTCCCCTTGAGACATCATTTTCTTGCTAGCTCGTGTACTTCTGGATTTATATTTTATTGAACCTTAATTAATCTTAATTTTTATTAGTTAATTAATTAAATTATGTGCAGATAACTTTTGAACTAGCAGTGAAGCAACTCATGAGCTTTGATCCAAATGAATGGACCGAAAGTCTAAGGAAGGAGTACGTCCTACTGATCGAAGGCTTCTTCTCCGTTCCTTTGCCTCTATTTTCCACCACCTACCGCCGGGCCATTACTGTAATTTCCTCTCTTTTTCTTGTACGATGATTTAATTAATTGTGTAATTAGAACTATATTATTTGAAAACACAAAATAACGGATTTATCGTTTGTCAAGTGTGTTAGACTTTGTGTATTTTTCATGTATTTAAACCTAATTAGTTTTTTTTTTGTCAAATTTAAACCTAATTTATTTAATTAATTGGGAATTTGAAATTGAAGGCGCGGACAAAGGTGGCGGAGGCATTGACCTTGATAGTGAGGCAAAGGAGGGAGGAGAGCGAAGCCGGGCAGATAAAAGAGGACATGTTAGGCGCACTTTTGAGCGGAGACACCGCACTCTCCGACGAGGAGATTGTGGATTTCTTGCTTGCTTTGCTGGTGGCCGGCTATGAAACCACCTCAACAATCATGACACTTGCCGTAAAGTTCTTGACGGAGACACCTCTGGCCCATGCTCAACTCAAGGTGCCACTCTCTCCCCCACGTCCCTTTTTCTTTTCTCGCTTTATTTGCCTAGTGGGGACTGCTAGTCTTGCAACTGCCATCATATGCTCACGTTACTCTGTTGGGCATTTCAACATCCACTTTTTTGTTATCTAAATCCTCAACCATTCACTTTGTTTTCGATAGATTGCATTGGATAAACTAGGGTTTAAGTGACCGCCATATGGTTTACTGAGTAATTGCACGTATCTTGATCAGTCGTAAGTTGCATTAGATAATTACATATATAACTAAACAACGTGTCCTCGAAATACATAAACTTGTAAGATTATCACATCCGATGTGTGTGCATAGAGAATTAACATAAGAAAGAAAAATGAGTGTCGGACATTCCTCTCCATGTTTGTATCTTTCAATTATCTTTCAATTTATTCACTTTTAAGACCCAAAAATGAATGAGGGTGGGGCGTTAAAGAGAATGTGAAAATTACTTCTCAAATTTTTGCATTAAAAAGACAAAATTGTCCCTATCGAGAAAATATAGCCTAAAGTGTTACAAGGTAGTAAAAAAATAGGGGTGTGATATCCATACATCTATTTTTACTTCTCACACATTTTCTCATTTTCGGTCTTCGGATCAGATGAATTGAAGAAAATCAACGGACAAAAATTAACAACTAATGTGTAATAAATAAAAAGAGATGTGTGAATATCACATTCTAAAAAATAAAGTAGAGAATGTAAAAGTGGGACAACATACTGATAAAACCAACGGACAGAATGATGACATGCTTTTCCCCTTCGCTCCCTTCCAAACTGCACGCTTCAGTGTGCTGTAAATATTGTCAGATTCTCGGCAGTTTTGGTCTTTTGACTACGTCGCCTCTTTGCTTCACGTGCAGCTGGTTTGGGAGGGTATTCTGGTCATTCTACTGACCCTAGGGGTCCCAAAGCTGGGCCATTGGGAATCGTGCGGTTCTGATTTCTAGGACCACAACAATCCAACGGTGTAAATAGGAGGTTTCAATGCTGTCAGCACCCTAGCATTGTTATCCTTTTTCGATTCCTAGGATTGTTTTGGTGTCCGTGCACTCGTGTGATGTTCCGAGCTCTACCGTCGGATTATGTTGTCAACCGAAAGTGCTAAAATGGACCTGCTCTTAGTCTGGAGTCTGGACTGAGTTTCAGGCCATGGCTAAAGGGTTAAACAGCTAAATATCTCGATTCATGCTATGAGCCGGTTCATACTAGACAATCAAGATTATTATCTTTGCTGAATAATGGAAGTCTTTTTCTTATTTTTTATAGGTAAAATGTTTGTTAAATTGTTAATGAAGTTCTGAATCCACATTGCAGGAGGAACATGAGCAAATTAGGGCGAACAAGAAGTCATCCGAGACTTTGGAATGGAGTGATTATAAGTCAATGCCATTCACTCAGTGTGTAAGTATTGATTTCAAAACTCTCAAAAATAACGGATATTATTATGTCGAACTCTAATAACAAAAGTGTTGTTAGAATCCGACATTATGTCATTGCCAAACATGCTTACAAATTGTCGGGACTCTAATTCTTCGAAGTTTATTGACTTTGTTCGTTCAAATTTAGGTTGTAAACGAGACACTGCGAGTAGCAAACATAATTAGCGGGATATTTAGGCGGGCAATGACGGATGTTCACATTAAAGGTAACAACTTTCTATACCACGTAAACAACCTGCATTCCGAACTGGATATTTTTCAAATTCTTATGCACGCGAATAAAGTTATTAATCGGTGAAAATAATATGAACAGGATACACAATCCCTAAAGGTTGGAAGGTATTTGCATCGTTCCGTGCTGTACATCTTGATCAAGATCATTTCAAGGACGCTCGAACTTTTAATCCATGGAGGTGGCAGGTACTTAATTATACATCTCTGCCTAATAAGTATGTTTACTCATTTTTTTTTAATTTATAATTTTTTATTAAAAACATGATTTTCGTAGAGCAACTCTGGACCGGCCACAAGCCCAGCAAATGTGTTCACACCATTCGGAGGAGGGCCAAGGCTGTGCCCAGGCTATGAGCTTGCCAGAGTAGAAATCTCAGTCTTCCTTCACCACTTAGTCACTCGTTTCAGGTACCCAAAAAAACTACGTAAATCTGCACAAATAGAAGTGGTATTATATTTTCAATCACAAATAGAACTTGAGGGGCACTAAACCGACAATAAAGTGGCATGAAAATGTTTTATGTGTACGGGTTATTGTTTGTTTAGATTTGCAACCACTTGTATTTGCGCATATTTCCTGTTAAACTGACGACGCTGATTGTTTATGTTAGCAGTTGGGTTCCTGATGAGGAAGATAAGCTGGTGTTTTTTCCGACGACGAGGACGCAGAAGAGGTACCCGATCAATGTGCAGCGGAGGAACAATGTGTCATATGGGCAATGTAAAGAGTAAACCAGAGGAGAAAGCAAATGAGTCAGGAAATTATGTAGTAGTACTAGAGCTGTAATATCCTTTGATCTCCAACCCAATAAAATTATATTATTAATTAATTAATAGTTTAGTGAAATTAAATCAAATGATTAATTGATAGGAAAACTAATAAAAATAGTTTGAAAACTTTGAGTTTTAACGAAAATAACTAAATAAAGGGTAAAGTGAATAGTATTAGAATTGACTTTTTAATGTAAAAATATGATTTTTTTTTTAAATAAACAATACCGAAAATTTTTCGTTAAAATTCTTTTAATTGATTTCTCTTTCCTTCGTAACGTGGGGGTTTTGTAGGTGATGGCAGATTTTGTAGCTCTTTTATGTTTTAGCCTATCATTAATGTGCTTTAATTATTAAAAAGGAAATCCACCTGAAAGACTTTTCCTCCTCGAGCCATTCTTCCGCGTGCTTTTATGGCCCTGGTCCACATCATCATTCGCCGTCGTTGGGATATGTTCTCGGTTGCATCTAAGAATCTCTTAAAACTTCGATCGTTGAAGTGATTACTTTTTAGTTTTTAATCAATTTGCCGTTTGTATTTGATTTTGATTAGTTCAACTCACGTTACCAATTACAACAGAAACATATAATTCCAAAGAGAAAATGAATCGACCAAAAATACATTACAAGTGCAACACATTCAATAATGTTTCAATCTTTCAACAGATTCAACATTTCTCATCTTGTAAAATGATAGAAGCCGAAATTGCTTAAGAAAAAATTACAATTATTTTGTACACAATACGTCGTCTCTCAAGGAGAGCATCTGCCACTACAAGCATGCCAGAATAACTACAGCAGTAGAGCTGTTGGCGCCCCCCGGCTTCAATTGCCGGAAGCTTCCGCTCGACTTGCACATCTGCTGGGCAATACCGTTCAAAATGGCACCGTCTTGACGGAATGACACATTGTGCACCGCCACAGGTTCAAAACTTACATCCGAGTTGCCATAACTTAATCGCAGATTCGGAAACAAAGTAGGTCTCAACATCTGCCTGTTTCCTGACTTTTCAATGCAGATTCAACAAGCTTAACCTTTTTCGAATTTTCGCTATTGAGCAGTGAAAGTTTCTCAAGTGAGGATTTCAGCTGGGAGACTTGAGATTCTTGCACAGGATCTTTCCCCCTTGCAATCAGCCTACGTTGGTTTGATGCATTGCCCTTCGGCGATTGTGTGTGCCTTTTTAACCTTGCAGTTACAGCATTAATGGAAGAATGCAATGCATCCAATTCAACTACGGAGAAGTGGTCTGCGTAGCAACAAAAATGTATGTTAGAAGTGAAAAATTAGTGCTGGGCATAACTCCTGACCAAAAATGTATAGGCTAGTCACCTAAGCAGGAGTGAATTATGAAGATTTAGGAACCAGTAAAATAGGAAAACGGAAAATTAAATTACTGACTACGAACTAGGGCATAACTCCTAAGCTCATTTATGATGGAAAAAGCTACATTAGTACACTTATTATTGAAAAATGGTCATTACCAAGCTCCAACTTGAACTCTCGCTCAGCTCTGGACAGTGGTTTCTTATGAGGCCCTGGCAAGTCCCGCAAACATTTCAAGCGCTCCTCCAGAAGATTTTGCATCTGCTTTGCACGGTCAATTCTGTCCTCCAATTTTGATTGTTTCTCCTCAACTTGTGAAAGCCTCTGTTGTGCATTACCTAGGCGAGCATGCTGGTCATCGATTATCCTCTTCAAGATGGGTCCATGATGCTTGAGTTCAAAGTAAACCTAGAGGGTGGAGGAAAAATTCATAAAAAAACAAAAGGAACCATTTCCCTTAATAAGGTAGATTTGACACAAGTAAACATAATCTGTTGTATTGCTTGGCATATTGTTACCTTATATGCATACTCCGCATAATTTTCATGAAAGCTTCTGAAGTACTCATGAAGCATTGATCGACCTTCAATAGAATCAGCTGAAAGAGAACGTAAACTTGGTGAGCTCTGAGGAAGAAGAACCACCTTAGGTCCAACTAGTAGTTCTTTGCTTATAAGATCAGGCATATCTTTTTCTTTTGGTTCTTCCAGGCAAAGAGATTTGTTCTCCGTATCAACTTGATGAGGAAGTAACAGGTTCCAAGTCTTCATCTCCAGCACTATACATTCTCGCGAAACAGTGAGTCCCACGATCCAGGAACACCCAAATGAATCTGATAATGACACAAAACCGGAAAGTGGAGATTGTGAGGGGACTTCTCCCTGGCATGTGCTTAGAACAGGATGCACAGAAGGAGTTCTCATAGTCTCGTTCTTGCCACTGATCTGACTTGTAAATGGAAGATAATGCAACACTATTGAATCTAACCCTCCATCATGAAGGGTGTATATTCTTTCCGGCATCAGCGGATCAGTAAACATCATAATAAGAGAACCACTCTTTGCTTTCCTAGGCAAAGCCAGATCCACAATAGCCAACCTCAAAAGAGGGGGAGGAAGTCCCAACCAAAGAGTACTATCAAGAGGTTGATCAAGCTTCACAGGTGAAAGCTTGCCTGGGGTTGGCTCACAAATCATTGCAAGACCAAGAATATGATCATGGGAATCAACACGGAGTCGAGGTGGGCTGCCAGCATTCCACAACGGTTGGATTTCATCGGCCATAGCATCTATTTGCAATTGCCCACCACTCCAGGCAGTGACCAGAATTGAGTCTTTGACGACTAAATTATAAAGAAGACTGACTGCTCCACCTTCACATTCTGCACCCCGGAAGGCTAAATCTTCTTCATCCTCACCACGACACACTTTCCTCAGAGGTCCCTGGGAAATTACAATGTAGGTCAGACTGTGGACTTCTACAGATTGCAATAAACACAGACCAAACTTGGAGACACAAATTACCAACTTAAGACACCCAACACTGAAAGAGAGTAGGCTTTAAGCCATTCGTTCAAATTTACTTGGAGAGATTCAAACAGATAAAGGGCAGCAACTTTGAAGTAAATGAAATTATCAAGGAATTGTAGCTAGTGCCGACACATAATTTACTCAGGAGCATAGATAGAGCTATAGTAACTACTGCACGCTTATAGGTAAGAGAGCACAGATACCTGCAGTGAGAGTGAGGCATCAAATATAGCATACGGATGAGCTTTTATCACATATGGATCTGATCCTTCTGTTTCTTGGTTTGTGATTGCTGGAAATGTTGCTTCCAACCAAGAAATAGCTAGATTCGAGTTACTAACAGCCTCTGAATTGGCTGACTTCAGGCCAAATGTCTGGGCATCATTATGTATCTCTACAATGGATTCCCATTTGTAGGCACTGTTCAAAAGAAAACAATTTATTATGCTCAGCACCCAATACAAAGATCAGTTAGCATACGATGGCTACAAGGTATAAATACTTCTAACACCCCAAGATGCTACAGCCTATACAAGGGTAACAACTCAAGGCAGTGATGCAAAGGGAAAAGACTATCAGTTAAATATTTCGCTTTGATTTATAACATTAGACTATCAGTTAAATACTTCACAACCTTTAAGTGACACAGAAGCACCAGATTTACATGGAGGAATATTATGTCATAGTTCCAACAAAAACGTATTAGGACAACTTTAATTCTTCTCTGTAAACTAACCATTTCTGAAAGGTTCCTAAAAGGATTAATTGACGCATCCAGCTTTATAGTACATGGCACGTGTCCCGGAAAATGATAGTTGAAACCATACAATCCTCTTGGTTTAGGTATCCCGAATCTTTATGCTTTTAAACAAATTAAAAATACCTTGATCACTTTCTTCTCAAAAAAAAATACCTTGATCACCAGGCCTAGTTGATCTCTAGTTGATCAACTAGGCCTACGTGTAGTTCCTCTTAAGAAAAAACTATAAGCCTTACAAAGGGGCACGACATGAAGAATAAAATACCTTCCAAATGGTACAACGGGACAAAGGATGTAAATTGAACCATCGTTGAACAAAATGAAAACCTGTACAATAGCATATGAATGAGAATTTAAGTAAATTACGTGAAAACAGTTAAAACGGTTAAAATGCAAAACTCAACTTGCCTAATATGAATGACCATAGTAACAAAAAGATGAACAAACAGTTGAAACATGTGTTATGCTAAAACAAACGTAAGCTTTGAAAAATCCTAATAGAATAGCTCGTATCTTCATGACTTAATTGATAGAAACAGACAATATTTCAAGGAAAAATCATATTACAGATGAACAATAAATGACGCCACAGGAAACAAAAGACCAAGAGCATTCCAATCTATAGCATCAGTGTTTGAACAAAAAAAAAAGCATGACAAAATAAATTACCAAAGTCAATTTTTTTTTTTAAATGAACTTACACTAAATGAATCCCACAGGTGTTCACTCCCAAATGAAAAGTCAACTGGGCAAATTGATGTCGCATTCCTGGATCGACCTGGTTGCACAGGCTGTAGATAGTATTCTTGCTCTGGTTGAATAAGATCTGAAGACAAATCAAAGATTCTACAAAAAAACTGAAGGTAAATGTAGATACAAGGACATTAATTGTTCAAAACACAAAAATTAAAATAAATTCAGAGATACACTAACCAAACCTGGACACAATGTTTTTTTTTTTTTTTTTTTGTCTAAATCAGACACAATATGAATAAGAAACACCATTTATAAAAGCTAATGCTCGATCTGATGAAACCTAAGAAGACCTCAAAGAATTTCTTTTACATTTGAAAAAGATTTCATACCTGAAAACTGAATCAGAAGAAAGAATTCCCAGGTGGGTGTCACTGTTAGGATGCCATGAAACTTGCAGTATACGTATGAGATTGTTTTCTCTTAAGTAGATTTGTGAACCAACAGTTACAGTCCTGTAAGGTTTTATTTAAAAAATAACAGATACATTAAGAATCTTTACTTTGGAACATCAAAACTATTTAATTTGCAACACAATCTCCATTAAGCTCATACGGTCATACCCACAAGTACATTTTCAGAAAGGGAACACAGGCTAGTACATGAATACAAAATCATGATGATAGATAACGAGGGAAGGGGAGAGGGGAACTAAATAATCATATTGTGCTCCGAGAGAAAGATCAGCAGAGGAATCACCACCACCACCCCCCCCCCTTCCCCCCAAAAAAAGTGTATAATCTAAACCATCATTACGATTCATCACTCAGGTTGCTCTCTAAGACACCCCAGCACAACATGTTCAAAGATGAAAACGAAAAATGATAACGTATTTCCATTTTTCCAATCATACCTGCAAATGGTTGCATTGTCTTTGTTGGAAGCCCGCCCATAAAGATACAGAACGCAGAGACCACCTGAACCAGAAAGAAGCAATGCTGATCCATTCCTATTGATTGAGATTTTGTGAACCGCAAAGTCGAGCTTTACATCAGTTTGCAATACCTATCGAATTACAGGCATAATCAACAAGATAAGTATTAACTGACATAGATAGTACACTCCAAGATTAGTCGATAATCGTTACCACACTATGCCCGAAAATTCAATTCACAGTATAATTTTCAATTCTTGTACAAATTATCGCTTCAATAATCACTTTCTGTTACCATAAAACTCGAAGCTAGGCAACTAACTACATTAAGCTCAGCTGAGTACCTACCATTCGAGTGCATTTACTTTCTTATCCTTCAATTTTCTCAGCGACCAAACAGAACCAAAGAAATTGAAATTTCAAAAAAAAAATGAGGGAAAGAGAGGAAACCTTGGAAGGCGAAGAAGCGATGACGGAAGTCGGGTCGGGTTCGCCCAGCCGGATGGAGATCCGGTGAAGGCAGAGCTTATCGGAGTCCCAGAAGTAAAGCCGAGAGGCTCCGTCCCAGGCCAAGAGATTTCTGGGCGCTCGAGCCGCGGTCAAGTCGTGGACCGGACCGGCAGCGGAGGAGGAGAAGACCGGGTGGTTCTGCAGCAGGACCCACTCCACTTCGTCTCTTTGGGGCGTCGGAGACCGCCCCGGTTCCGCTTCCGTTGCCTGCAGGTCGAAGTTGTACCTCATTTTCTATCACTTTCTATTCCGAGCTCTGGAGTTTGTGGAGGCTTCTTTTCGCACTGTGGTTTTGTTTTTCTTTAATGGAGTTTGTGGAGGCTTCTTTTCGCACTGTGGTTTTGCTTTTCTTTAAAAGAAGTTGGACGGAAAGCTAGGGATACTGTTTTTAACAAAAAATTATATTTTTACATTAAAATGTTAATTTTGATACTATTTATTTTACCCTTTATTTGGTCTTTACTGTTAAACCTCAAAGTTTTCAAGTTTTTTTTATTAATTTTCCTTTTCTTTAAACGATGCAACACAGGGGTTAAACTGTGGGACGACGTCGTTTCGTTGAGTTTTGCATTGCACCTGGGGGGGGCAATGTAGAAGCGCGCATTGCGTTTTATCTCAGGTCTAAAATATCGATATTATCTCGATATTTCTATCGAAATTTTCGTGATTTTGGACTACCGATATTTCCGATATCATCGATATTTTAAACCTTGATAGGAACTCTATATGGTATTAAGTCACTCATGTATCTTACCATACAATGTATAAAGTGTAAAATATTGTACTAATTCATTATATATAAATGATTATGGTGTGTTTAAACTTCTTTCATTAATTACTATATATTTTCTACACTTACAATGTTTGCTAACTCGTTATATAATTAACTTAAATCAGTTAAATCCATCATGCAATGCATTTCCTTCCAATTTTTTTATGATAAACTAATATATAATTAACTAAATAAACATCCTGCAAAGTTTCAATAAAAATTTCCAAGGTTTTCTTACAATTTCCGTGGTTTTTATTCAATTTTTATCGATATCGATAATATCATGATATTTCCATCGAATTTTCCTTGTTTTTGGACTACCGATATTTTCGATATCATCGATATTTTAGAACTTGGTTTTACCAACGCTCCCGCCACACAAGCCTCGCGCGACACCAACGTTGGTATTTGGTAGAGAATTTTTAGAGTGTCCGTAAGATTAGTGGTAATGATTGTACATGTTTCGAGGACATTAAAAAATTTAAGAAAAACTAATGAAAATGGCTTGAAAACTTTGAGTTTTAACGATAAGGACAAAATAAAGTGTAAAGTGAATAGTACCAGGATTGAATTTTTAGTGTAAAAATGTGGTTTTTCGTTAAAGTAAACAGTACCAGGAGCTTTTCGTTAAAATTCCCAAAAATTTATCTATATTTTGAAACGTTTTATGTCTATTTGACAAAAGAAAGACGTTTTCTGTCTAGAATAAACGACACATCACACATACAGTCGAAGTTCGAAATTTCAATCTAAAATCTCTTTCAACACTTTCTAAGAAAAATATTACATAACTGAGTTTTAATATCATAAGTCAATTTAGTGTTCTAGATATGTTACGCTAAGTTGCTCATACAGATAGTTCTGACAACAATAATTTCATTAATTTCAAGCACAAGTTTACAAAACCCTAGCTTGGGCTAGTTTCATAAATATTATGCCTTTTACATAGAAATTAAACTGTACACTTGATGAATATAAAGAACAAAAAATGATGGTATTTGCCGCAGTGGTAACAAGTTATATACTCTCTCTCTCTATGATGAACAAATATATACACAACCTCCATTTGCACAACATGATGTTGATTGAAGGGGCTGCTTCTATAGCTTCTTCTATATACTTTAACAAATCTGCACCAAAACAAAAGCCACTGAGATGAGAAGAGAACATAAGATGGGGAAATGGAAAGGAAAACATCACGAGAAGCACTTCTGGTACATATGCTTTTGTTAGGCTTTTTAGCTAAAATAGTTTATGAAATTGACATAACCCCTTGCTTTGGTCCCTAAGACTAATCCTTGAGTTTGTTCACTATCATTCATTTTTGTCATTCAATGAAAAATCTTCGTTAAATAATGAGAAAATGACCAAAAACCATCAATTTTTGTTAATTTTGGCCCATTGTTTATGAAATTAAATGTATTTTTGTCATTTTAGTCCTTATTTAACATATATTTTTCACTGGATGACCAAAATAATTTACGGTAGACAAACTTAAGTACCACTTCTATCAGTTTCAAATCTCATGGACCAAAGTGAGTAAGGAGGAGTTATGCCAATCTAATAGACCATTTTGGTTAAGATGTCTTTTTGTTATAAGAGTTTTTTGTTATCTCAAAACGCTGATAACCGTTATAAAAACCCTTCCAAACAAAACCAAAAATTAACTGCTGCAAAATCAAAATTACCTGTAACTAAATGAACCACCCCTAAGATTGGGGTTGGTTTGTGCGAGTTTACTTCACTCTTTCTTCTTTCAGAAGCTTCTGGTACCTAGGGAACCCATTTTTGCAAGCTGAAACCTGCAAACATACCGCAATTTTCACATCAGCATTTGATAAATCATGAACTTTTTTATGCTTAATCATGTTTAATTATGATTAACTGGGGATTAGCAGAAAGCACATGATTTGGGGAAGATTCTCATGGCAGAAAGTAGTTTATTCTGACGTGACAAAATATTTGGCAGCGTTGCTGCATATGGCATGTGGTCAACAATTCGAATATAAAGGAAAAGCTGCCCATCTCTGTATACGGCCACCCATCACGGATTCTTCCTCGAATACAGGACTCAGTGATGTATTTGGCCTTATTCCTTAAAATGATCGATATAACTCTCCACTTTGATTCTTGAAATGAAAAATCGATACAAGTAGTTTTGACTTTGTCCACCGTCATTCATTATGATCATTCCTCGAAAAATCTCCGTTAAAATTGAAGGTATTTTGTCAAATCATTTCCTCCACTTTTTTTTTCATTTAATGAAGATTTTTTATAAAATAACCAAAGAATTGACGGTGGATGGACTCATTAACCACTTCTATCAAGTTTCAATGTCAGGAAACAAAATGGAAGTTATGCCAACCATTTCGTTTAAAAAGCCGATATATTTTGACAATTCACCAATAAAGTTAAAAAAAAATGGAAAGCAGGGATTATGGACAAAGATTAATATTAATATGGTAAGAAGCAAGCATCGTAAACGTTTTCAATGTTGCCTAAAGAAAAATGGAAAATGAATTTCGACCTTCCAGAAGATTAGAAATTTAGAATCCAAAGTATTCAACCCTTTCACGATCAGCAATTAAATTATTGGCCAAAACAAAAAAAAACACCAATTGAATTGAAACTTTCAAGCGAATTTCAATGATAGTGGTTGAACCACAGACATCTCAATTTACTCATATACGCTTATTTACGAACAAGTCACTTAAAAAGCCTATTTTATCAGAAAAAATTCTTAAAACACCGTTTTAAAAAAGAAGAAAACTTTTGATTTTCAAACGTTTCTCATTGATAAGTGGGAGCAAGATTTGCCCTTCTTTTCAGGAAGCAATATTCTAAATTATTCTAACTCGTCGTGAGATGATTTGAACTTGTGTTAAGGAGGCGCTGACACAAACCTAACCAACTAGCTTAACCTTCGTCTGTCATTTGATTTAAGAACTCCATTTCTTCCAATTAAAGTCAAAACTTACAGCCCCAAAACTGACACGATTTCATCTGAGAAAATGGAGATTAGATAAGAGCGAAAGGACTTACAGCTTCAATGTCAATTTTGTACACCCAAAGCTTCCTTCTTTCTCTGCAACTTGTTCTATATGCCACCACAATATGCCCAACGGCCAAAACCAGGGAGCAGACGAACAAAGCAATATCTGTTGCTCTCACATACTCTGCCCTCTCCACACCGGAAGCCCCAAACACGAACGAAGCCTTCAATGAAACAAACACCAGGGACAAAACAGAACACATGGTTGTGATCCCCAAATACGGTCCGTGTGATAGCCTTCGTCCATCACAGAAGCTGTAAACGCCTGCAGATAAAAGAAAAACCCAATTCTAATTAATTTCACCATGATTAGATTAGTCGAAAAACAATCTAATCTACAGGGAGGTGATTCAAACTCGGGAGGTGGCAAAACATGCTATTCTGGCCAGCTAACCTGACTCATGTCTACGATCCTAAAACATAGCTCATGAGAGATGACACACTGACCTCGCCAACTAACCTAACATATGTATCCAATCTAAAAATATATGCTTTTTGGATCAGGATTCCAGAGCAACAAGATCAACTGTTCTGATCAAATGACCTAACTCACGGCTGCAATCTCGAGACTTATGCTTTTCGGCTGCAATCCCGAGACTTATGCTTTTCTCGATTCAAATTTGAGTGCAAAGCGACAGGAGACACTGTTCTGCTGTCATAGCCAGCTAACCTAACTCATTTCTGCAATCCCAATACAAGCGTATTCTGCTGTCCTAGCCATCTAACCTAACTCATTTCTGCAATCCCAATACAAGTGTGATCATTGAACGGCACACCAACTGAAGTAACTCGTATCTTACGGCTGGCCGACTGACCCGACTCACCTAATTTTGTGCTCAGAAAGTGAAAGAAAAACAAGTAGTACGAAAAAAACAAGCAACGAAAGGAGTAAGGATTAAGGCTTACAAAATATGACAGCTGATCTTATGATGGAAATCAACGGAATATCGACGAGGGAAGATCGAAAATCGTAGTTATTGAAATGGGACGACAGCGTTTCAAAAGAAATCAAAGAAGAAGACGAAGAGGCAGAAAGTATAGCCGAAGGAACAAGCGTATCGGCAATCACAAGCAGAATCGGAGCCGAAAACAGCAGCAGAGAAATCAACATAGTAATCAAGAAAAACACAGTCTTAACCCCCCTCAGAACCCTCTTCGATTTCTCTTCCTTCAAAAAACCCATGTCTTAATCTTCGGTTTCGAGTTCTGGTTCTCGAAGAATGATCGGAGGCTCTAGGACTGGTACGAAAGGGAGAAAGAAGGCAATTAAGAAGGGTGGGAACTGGGAAGGGAGGGGAAGGTGCAGTGCAGGCGTGAGGTGTAATGTTTTGACTGGACTCGGTTCTTGGATTTCTTCCTTGGGGGGTTAGTGATGACAATGACTGGGACTTTATACGCGCAAGTTGCCGGTCAAACGGATGAGTCCTCCCTTTCTCGGTATTTTACTCATCACAAGTTAACGGCAATACCTAAATGCCCTAGAACCGACAATCAACGACATATTTTACTTTTTTCGGCAAAACAAACGACATATTTTACTTTTCTATTTTATTTAGAAAGGGTTTGATTGTTCATGCATCGATATTTTCGAGTTCTAAATTGCCTGAACATGCGTAGAAATATGCGAATTACACAATAACTTTGTCACTGATTGCGTGAACGAATTATGATCACCAATAATCATGGGTCAAATCATTCAAGCTTAAGCACATAATAACTTTGTCAAGGATAATCTCTTTACTCGTGTTAATTCTGATAGTTGATGAATCATAGGTTTCAAATCTGGACTTGGGTGCGTGTCTATGCAATAACTTTGTTAAGGACAATTTTCTACATGCATGAATGAATCATAATCGTTGATACCATGTGTTAAATCATCTAGATTTGCATGCATGTCTACGCAATAACTTGATCAAGGACATTAGTCTACATTCGTGAATAAGTATTGATCCTTTAGGCATGATGAGTCTTTAATCATTCAAATTTGTGTGTACGCCTATTTAATAACTCTGTCATAATCTGTCTCACAAGCATACATGATTATTAATGTATTGTAAGTCCTATATAAATCAACGATAAAAAATTAACAATACTCACATAAACGACCAACTGTAACATACTTTTCACTCACAATTTTAAAGTTTATTGCTACAGAGTTTTGGCAAATATCTCGTTTGTGGGTCAATTGACCAGGAATATTTAGGCTGTACGATGTACATGAATCTTATCAAATGGGCAAAAGCTGCTATATTTCTTTTTTTCAAAAATTTGGTTCACTTCACTATTAAAAGAACTGCCAATCAATTGAACCGGGTATAGTGGAACCAACCGATTCGAGACCATGTGGCCACATGGAACAATTCGCCTTTGCGAATCAATTTGTGGGTTTTAAATCAATTTTTGGTTTGTGTATATTTGGGGGCTAAATACTTTACAATTTTCTAATGGCGTGGTGGTTAGATTATTTGGTGGTTGAATTTATAAACCGTTATGGGTCATGCTGATAATTATCCAACTTAATCTGTTCTTTAATCTAATTAAAAAATAATTAATCCAATCTAATCTGTTCTAAAAAGTTGTACAAATTGAGGAATAAAATATGGAATTGTTACGTTGGCATTGGAAACTTTGGTGAATAAATTCAAAATCCATCTGGGAAGATAAGATATCCATCGGCAGCAATCATGCACCTAATCTGTGTGCAGTGAGTAGTTATAAGAGGACCCTATGTGGCCTGGCATGTTGGTGATACTGATGAGATTCCTCATACAACGGCTAGTGAAGTATATACTCAAATGTTATAAGGACGAATCCGTGATATTACTTTTTTTTTACATAATTTTGACACATGTTTTTTGTAAGACTCACTTTGTAATGTACTTCAACGATCCGAACCAACTGTATATCTTTTAGGTCTTTCTCCAAAGATCATGTCTACCAAAAACTATTCAAATCTGAAATCATATGACCGTTAGGTAAAGGGTTCAGAGTTTCTTTACAGTGCTGTATACGTCCATTCTTTTTTTACTACAAATGAATGTCATGATTTTGGACCTGGCTAAGTTTTTGCAAGGGTGATCTATGAATAATATTCTAAAAGATAGACAATTCGGCTTGTTAAAAATACAATACGAAGTGAGCCCCACAAAAACAAAAAAACGAAGATTGTACACTCATCCGTTAGATCGGTTTATTGAGGTTGTGCGGCTGAGATTAAATATGCCATAAAACCTTTTCCTTCTCCATTTTCTCCCTTTCTTTCCTGTTTCTCCTTTCTCTTCCTCGCGAATGAGGCGCAACGCGAAGAGCACAACCAAAGCTTCACTTGAAGCTCTAAGAATCACATGCCATCGCGTCAAACCTTTGCAATTTCAAGTTTGGGAGATTATGTGTGTAATTGGATTCAGTACGGTTGTCTTATCTGATAAGACTAAAACACAAGAGGTCTCTGTATAATTTGTCTTACGAATGACGCCGTCAAATGATTTTGTCCAATTTTTTTCTGTTTAAATGGCGATGCTCTCGTATACAACTTTAATAACGTTACAAGAGTTGTTGATAGAAAAGGATGATATTAATGACCGAATTGTATAAAATCATCTCTTGTAGACGAGCCTATAAATATATGGCCTGCAAAGGCGGACAAGCCACCGAGATTAAGTGAAGTTTTGTCCTCCAGCTGTTTGTAAAGATTCCAGCGTGCCTCTCCGGCAGCTTTGTGTTATGAAACACATTACATATGCCAGGCTATGCCAGCTTTGAGATTTCTTTATCAACCTGATCCAAAATGGGCGTGAGAGCAACCCAACAACTAGACCTGTAAAGGGGTGAGGTTTATTGGGTTTGGATCGGGTTGAACCCGACCCGTTAATTTAAAAACTCTTCCAAACAAGACCTCAGTCATGAGTGCTATTTATAGGTTCTTTTTGTTAACTGGTGTTTCACCGCATGCAGAAAAGTTCTTCCCAATACTTGACGTTGTTTTGGTATTTGAGGTTTGAATTTTTTTTGAGATTTCGGTCAGTTTGATTCATCACATGAAACAACAGGGTGTATCATCAACCAACTATATTTTGCATCAAAACGCAATATGAAAACTAAAACCAAGGCTTAGCTTGTAATGTGGCACAGAAAGTACGCAAAACCTGGAAATTACGAGTTAAAACATTGTTAAAATTCACGATCACATGTAATTATAGTAGAGTTGGATGTTTAGGTGTGTTGAAACGAAGAAAACTTACATACAAACTGTTTCTTACCGTCGTTTCTTAAGTTAGAATTTATGCATGGTGAGGAGGATATGAAACAAGTTGAATGCAAATTTTTCTCCGTTGAAAAAATGTATTTTGTTTTGTGAAAGATATACACTTACATTGTTACATTGTAAATAACTAGAGATTCGTTAATTTAACGTACATTCCAAAGTTAATTCGATAATATTGGACGTTAATAGTTTATACGAACGACAACATAACCATGGCAAAAGAACTCTTGCACTTTTTATCTCGACATCCACTTATCCAGCTGATAGAACATTTCTCGCAAGACCCTTTGGATGCGCGGAATCACGTCCGATTCCACTCCCACGGCGCAGTCGGCTTCCACATGGTCAAAAGAAATCCATATATCTACGTCATTACCTTTTGACATAGATGGGATGGCGATTATATTTACACAGAATATATTATTATATAATCTGTGTATGTGTGAAAACTGTGAAACTTGGATAAGACCAAACCCCTTTTACGTGATAAGGCGAATTAAAATTGAACAAAATCTGTCTTTTGCTTGGAGGACTAAGCAAAAGCAGCCTCAATCTTTATTTTTGTCAAATACGTAAAAAGTTCGTTCAAATTTAATAGAGTAATGTTAGAAAAATCAAAAATTTTAAATCAAATTACAAATTAAATAATATGTCATTAATAAGAAATATGTGTATTAATCAATGTTTAATTAATAATCCAATAAGTAATGTTAGAGAGACTAAATTTGTAGACAAAATTTTAAAAACTAAAGGACATAGAAGTTGATGATTGATTTATTAGTTGCACGTTGATAAACGTGTTAATTCCTATTAGTGACACATCATTTAGTTTGCAAATTTAGTCTCTAAATTTGGTCTCCCTAGCATTACCATAATCTAATTATCTACAACTACATCATTTAGTTTGCAAATTTGATTAAAAAAATTTGATCTACCTAGCATTACTTAATTTAATAAAATTCAAGTCTCTTGGGCATCACATGGTGGTTTAGTAGTTAAAGATGAATTCTAGGTTTGTATTCCACACGGCATATTTTGGTATGATATATTGCACTGATGAATCACATGATGGTAATCGATGAATGTTGAAATGTCTCTTCGAGTCTTCCTTATTTAAAAATAATAATAAATTACTGTGACAAAATCACCGACTAGTCTCTTTTTAAAGAAAAAAAAGTCTTTTGGGTTCGTTGAGAAGAAGGATATATTTAACTTGGTGTCTAATTGGAAGTAGTCAAGTATTACTAGAATTGTGAATGATCAAAATTTGTATTTGGAGCCGCCTTTTGTTAATTATAATTAATGAGTCAAATGTCAGAAAAAATCAAAGGCCGTGATTCTAGAACTACATCATGAGAGGCCCGTGAAAACAGCGTGGTATTGTGACATTTGGTGCTTAATTAAAAGGTTTTTCATATTATTTGCATTTTCAAGTGTTTATGATGTTGAAACTAATGCTAAATTATAAGGTTGTACTAAAATTTTCGCATTATTCTGTATTTAATTTTAGGTTATTTATAATGTTGAACTAATCCTTCCAACTCAATTAGTACACCAACAGTGTTTTTGATATATAATCACATTTTATATATACTAAAACTCAATTTTATAATCACTATTCGTTAACAGTATTTTTGACGAAAATGTTCCTCAACAGTTGGCCATCTCCAGTTTCCTTTTGATGTTGCACAATTGATTTACTATTTTGCCACTAGGTTACTCGTGTTGATCATGGCAGCCGAATTGGGTATGCTTCGAACACGAATTATGGTTCCATTATGACTCCTCTCTCAGAAACCTCGCCTTTACTCTCCCAAAAATTTTAAACTAAGCTTCACAATAGTCTAGCAATAATAAGTTAGTATCGAACCTGTCATTACAAGATTTGAACAAAAAATCTCTCGTTACAAGTGAAGATGAATACAACTTAACTGTAGTACTAATAATAAATTGGTTTTGAAATTGAACCTCAACTGTTTTTACAGTATTAGAGCAAGTTCGGCACATACAAAATTAAACTCTTTATGTAATAGGTCGAGCCACTCTATCCATACTCTATCCATTACGGATTCATTTTGAGATAAAACATCACACGTGAGCGACTCACCTAGGCATTGGTCGAACTTTTTCGTTGTACAATCGAGCTGTTACTTGTTAGTTACATAACCGCTTTTTAACCTTTCCATTGACATTTCATGAAAATGCGTGGGACAACGCATGGAATCCGATTCCAAAAAACTCCGTGGTTAAGCACTATGAAACAAAAGAGGAACTTTCCACCTATAAGATTGGACATTGAATCGTATTGCCACAATTACAATGAACGGGTGAATGAGATTGAGAGAGACAGGACAGATCACAGGATCAACACTGTTCCGCAAGAAATCACAACGCAGGCAATTGCCATGGGATACCGTACAAATTATACCATGAGCAAGAACAGTAAAATTGACTTTGCTAGGTGCCTTGAGATTCTTAGCCAAATCACAATTGTATGGTTCTTTAGGCTTTTTACACTGTGATTATATTCTAAAAACCGCTATGTGCTAGTCGGGCAGCGTTCAGGCGCCTAGTGCTTAGATTTTTAGGATAAATGTCTACTTATACTTAAAAAAAATCTACTTATACTAATAAATTTTTGGGATAATTACATTTATTGTATAATGTATAAATAAATATCTACTTATACTTAAAAAAGTACATATTGTATTGGGATATATAAATTACAAAATTGAATGACATATAGACTATGAAGTATTAGAACATGTTGAAAACATGGGGAACAAGCATATAATGAGTGTACATCCAAGTATTAAACAAGTCTCTTACAATTTATTGAAAGAATAAAATGCCGAATGAAAATTATATATTTTTTGTTCATGTGAGAGTCGCGTCCTAGACAGATGCCTATGCAGGTCTAAATGTCATTTCTTAATTTACAAACGCCTATGGATTGTTCAGGATGGTGGCCAGCCGCCTAAAATTACAGCGCAAACTTTTAAAACACTATATTTAGTGATACAAGTATGTCACATCCCGGCCCGGGACCCCCACCACATCTCAGGCTCAACTTCATCATAGCACGATATTGTCCGCTTTGGGCCACAACCACGCCCTCACGATTTTGTTTTTGGGAACTTCTCAGTGGGTCACCCATCATGGGATTGCTTTCGCGCGAACTCGCTTAACTTCGGAGTTCCAATGGAACCCGAAGCCAGTAAACTCTCAAAATGCCTTGTGCTAGATATGAGAATATACATATAAGGCTTATAGGATCCACTCCCCTGGACGATGTGGAATGTTACAAGTATCAGTCGTGCATAATTTTGTGGCCAAATGTCAATCATTAATTTAAGTGGTTGCGTTAAAAAATCAAACCTACAACGTCACATAGAAAAATTAAATACACATCGTCGTTTTATGTAAATCCTTATCTATTGTGTGTCTCATCCAACAAGCGCCTAGGCCCTATGCAATAATTTTTAGAACAGCATATGTAGTGATACAAGCATCGGTCATTCATAGTTCTGTGGCTGAATGTCAAATCGTTGATTTATGTGGTTGTGTTAAAAAATCAAACATACAACGTCATAGAGAAAAACTGAATACACATCGTTGTTTTATGCAAGTCCTTATCATGTGTGTGTCATCCAACACGTACCAAACTCGGAAATGTGTATAAACACGCAACAGAAAAGGAAGGAAAAGTACAAAGGAACATTGCCTCCCCCTGGAAGGATAAGTGTTGCCCTTCACTTAGTATTGAAGGGAACAAAGATGGGCATGTATTTATGCGCATACGGCGTACAGCACGCGGCATAAATTGATTAATATTAGAAACCGTCTGGAAAGCAAGGTAGGTGATGTGGATGAATTGTCACACAATTTAACTTCTCTTCTTCAAACATTTGTTGTTAATTTATTATGGAAGAGGTCATGGCATTGACACGCATGGGACATGGATTCTGAGCATGGTTATGAACGTGCATGACTCATTGAAATACAATCTCTATAGACTAGCAATTTATAAATAAAAAATACTGGTATTGTGACGTTTTATATCATAATAAATTGTAGTAATAGTCTCTCAAATTTAATCTAATTGGAGAAATGGTACTTCAATTTTAACCCTATTGGAGTAATGATCCTTTAACTTTAACTCAATTGTAGCAATGATCATTTCAACATAACTTATTTAACATAATTTTGACGAAGTTGACTAAAACGAACATAGCTACACGTTTTGATGAGTTAAGGGACAAATGATCATGAAATTTTAGTTGATGGACTATTACTCCAATTAGGCTAAACCTTGAGAGACAATTGCTACAGTTTCTCTTTATGTTAATAGTATGAATACATATGTAAGTTTCTCTTAACATAACATTAAGTAACTGTATACTCGTACAATTAACAAACAATGAAAATGTGTGGCATGCTATGCAATTATATGAACTTTTTGTATTTTTAAAGAGAAATTTGAAAAAATAATCAAAATTTGTAACTATATATAATTATAGTCATATAACTAAAAGTTGATAGAAAAGTATTAATTTATCCTTAAAAATGACGTTTCCTAATTAAAATGAAAATGAAGATCACCTCCTCTATCTACACCTCTAAGCTTTGTCTCCTTCTCTAAAATTAAAGATTAGTTTTCCTTTGTTCTTTGACACTGTCATTTTCCTCTTCTTGGTCGTCAATGTCTACATCCCACCGTGCTCTGCAATTGGCTCGCGTGGTCTCTGTGCTCGAGCCTGTCCATGGGTTCCCTGCCATGAAGAAGAGCTATGAGCAGCTAAAGGGGAGGGTTGGCCTGCTATTGCAAGTGTGTTTTGCTACGTCTGCAAACATAGAGATGAATTCTTCAAATTGACACCGAATTCTAATTGTAATTTTGTTTTTACTTTGGGTTATGGTTATCACAAGGCTATTTCTGAGATTTCGGAGGCCTTGTGCGAAATTATTTAAAAGGCCACTGCTTAAGATAGTATTAAAAAAAGTAAAACAATGTATTGATGTTAGAAAACAATCACTTAAATCAAAATAAACTTTAGCACTCACCGATTACAAGTTTACAAATGTCATTAATTATAAGTAAAAAAGCTACAAACATAACCTTCACTAGATAATCAAAAGCAGTTCAATCTTAAACAACCAAACATGAAAAAAAAAAACTCAAAACTCTAACTTTAAAGTTCACTTGAATATATAATATAATAAAATTGGAAAACTATCATTTTTTAGGATGTTATTATTGACAATCAGAATATCTCATTGCACTATAAATTTTTATATTGAGTGAGATGCTAATGATACTAAATTTGTAGACAAAATTTTGTAAATTAAATGACATATAAGTTGATAATTGGATTATTATTTAATGATTGATAAACATGATTATTTCCTATTGGTGACTCATCATTTAGTTCACAAATTTAGTCTCCCTAGCATTACCCTTTTATATTTAGAAATGAAAAAAATTTACTCTTATAAGGAATGCATAATGAGATTTTAAAATACTAACAAAAATAATTTTCTAAATATATAGCATCATTACATAACATTAGATGACAAAAATTTTAGGAGCCCTTTCAAATTTAGAGCCCTATGCAACTGCATCCCCCCCCCCCAAAAAAGGGCCCCCTCTGAGTTATTATAAACTTAAAAAAGTTGCTATAATTCTATATAGAGTCTAAATTTTAATTATTTTTCCAAAATTACTATTTTTAAAATATAATGGAAAAGATAAGATTTTGGAAAAGACGAACCTGGCTGGCCTTGTCATGCCCTTTTGTCATTCACAAAGACAGTACGATGACTGCGCAAACGCAATAATTTTCTAGGGAAGGTGTTTTCAAATTAATTAAATTCCCAATAATGGACTGTATGTAATTTTGTATTGTTCTTTCAACAAGCGAGAACAACAAAGACTCATCCAACTAACGAGGAGCTTTTGGCCAAAAAAAAAAAAAAAACTAACAAGGAGGAGCCTTGTCCGACCAGATAATCGTATCTCATCACACTTTAAAGCAAAACTAAGCATAATTTAGAAGAAAGTGTAATGTTATATAGATGATAAATTTATTCATCAAATAACGTGATAATGTTTAATTGATTTAACTTAAGTGCAGTTTAAACGATATATATTACTAATATTAAATGAGTTCACATATACACTGAAGCATCATTTGGGAAACATATTTTACCAATAAATTGGCCAGTCTAACATCATTGTTTCTTGGGAACTTTAACGAAAAGCTCCCGGTACTGTTCACTTTAACGAAAAACCATATTTTTACACTAAAAAGTCAATCCTGGTACTATTCACTTTACCCTTTATTTTGTCCTTATCATTAAAACTCAAACTTTTCAAGCCCTTTTCATTAGTTTTCCTTTGTTTATTAGCTTTGAGAATTTCACTAGTTGTGTCTATAAATTGGGGAAAAAATGGAAGAGAAGAAAAGAAGTATTTAGACAAAATGAACCAAGCCCAGCCCAAATAGACCCTTAAAAACCCCAAAGTCAACCAACCCAGCCCACTAACTTCGGATTATGTCAAAGCAAACCGGCCCAATCCAATAGCTCTATTTTTTTTTTAACAAACGATATTATCTACACTAAAGAGATGAGGTGGGTTTAGCTTCACAATGAGCCTGCAATAGTATGGTTCAAATTCGCCTTTGAGAGAATCAAACCTAAAACCTCTCACTTATAAGTAAAAAAGAATATCACTAGACCGTACCACTCCATTTAATTAACTGCTTTATCAAACCAATAAAATAATAAAAAATTAAGACTTTAGAAAGACATCGAAACGTCACCGTTGCGTACCACCTATTTATTGGTTTCCCTCGCACCTTTGGCTCTTTTCTGGCAACGCGCCTATGCCAAAAACATGGCCACGCGATCCTTATGGAGAGCCACGAAGCTCGCGCTGTCGGCGACCGCCCTCATCGGCGGCGGTGCGGCGGCGGCGGATGTCGCCACCTCCGACGACCCCGCCATGACTTACAAGCTCTACAGCACTGTTCCCCCACGCCTTGTTCGCGGCGCCGTGACAGCCGCTGCCATCGCCTTCGGTAAGTCCCACTCCGCCTCATAACCTCTGCGTTTTCTCCAAGCAATGTCAATTCTAGGGTTTAGGGCTTACAATACGTCGCCGTTTCGAAGTTGAAATCATTCAATCGAGCATTAATAACTCAGCTTTAGCTTAATTAATCCGATTTGTTAAATTTAAGTGAAAATTCGATTCTAATGGAGTTCCGAAATTGCTTGTATGTAATCAGATTATGAGTACTCACTGTTGGGGCTTCCTGAAGGAAGCAATGAGAGGGAAAAAGCTAAGCATGAAGTTCACCTCAGGTCTGCGCTTAAACTTCAAGAATTGTGTTTCAAAAATGGAGGAATATATATCAAGCTCGGTCAGCATCTCGGGCAGCTGGTAAGCTTTCGAATTCAAATTTGAAATGATCAATCAGAATTCGGAAGAGTATGGGAGCTGATTATTTTTTCGTTAATTCGATTTTATACAGGAATACTTGGTACCTCAAGAGTATGTCCAGACAATGAGGGAGTCCATGTTGAACAAATGTCCGGTTTCTTCGTACGAACAAGTGCATGAAGTCATCAAAAAAGAGCTCGGAGATAGTCCCGATAAAGTATGTGATATTGGTTGTAGGGGTTTATGATTAAGCTCTCGCAAATGCTCGATATTTTATTAGCTTACTTATAGGTTTTGATCATTATTTTCTTTGATGAATGCAGATATTTTCTGAATTTGATCCTGTTCCAATAGCAAGTGCTTCCCTTGCACAAGTCCATATTGCTCGCGATCACAATGGCGAAAAAGTGGCTGTGAAGGTCACCGTTGTCAATTTTATAAGGGTTTTACTGCTAGGTGCAATCAAGTAGTCGTTTGGATTTATTCAACTTTTAAAACATGCATCTTTCTTATCAGAATTTTCTTTCTTGGCCCAAATAATTTTCAATTTTCAGGTTCAGCACACTCACATGACAGATACTGCAGCTGCGGACTGTGCTACTGTGAACTTTATTGTGAACACCCTGCACCAGATTTTTCCTTCTTTTGATTACAGGTAGTTCTAGGAAACCTGTTGTACCTGTTTATTTTCTTGTCTAGTTACTAGTTGACAAGATAATGAACACCATGCTAATCTTACTGACAAGCAGATATGTTATGGTACTAATTGCTGTATTTTCATTCTTGCTTTCATGAACAGGTGGTTGATTGAGGAGATGCGGGAAAGTTTACCCAAGGTAATTTGTTTCAATTTCTCTAACCCTTGATTGGCTTCTTCATAACCTTGTAGAAATATACGTCTACAATATGTCTAATTGTCTATTAGTAACTTTTATATGTCCATAAATTCTTTTTGGCACAAAATGTTTGTTTCCTTCCTTATATGCCACTGTAGCGATAGAAAAACACGTGGAGTTTGGACCTTAGCTTGACGCGTGTAATAATTCTCTATCATACAAATATGTGCTGCGTAGTAGTTTCAACTTTCAATAGATGTGTTGTCATTTGTTTGCATGTGATTGTGGAAATCAGGAACTGGATTTTATAAACGAGGCCAAGAACAGTGAGAAATGCTTGGAAAACTTTCAGAAGTTCTCTCCTCATATTGCAGCTTATGTATATGCGCCAAAGGTGTATTGGAGTTTAAGTACCTCAAAGTTATTGACCATGGAATACATAGATGGTGCACAAGTAAATGATGTGAAGACCATCAAAAGACTCGGAATGCGCCCTGATGAAGTTGCAAGGCTAGTAAGTCCATGAGTTACATGTCATGTTTTTACAATCTATGTTAGACAATCATGTTGTAAAAATACTGATTGCCCATTTAAAACTACATACTCTTTCTTCTAAACAATCCCATTGACCATAAGTTGACCACAGAAGTAGGTCCGTAATATGACTGCATACTGATTTTATTTTATTTTTGAGAATAGACTGCATATTGATTTGACTGCAAATGAATTAAGATTTTAGGACATTGGAACCACAACTTTGGGTCTATGGTTTAAGGTTGCGGCTAAAACATAGACTGTCCACAAAGGCTGGTTTTGGATGCCTGTTCCCTTGTGTGATTCATTATTTGTTTACGTGTTAAGGATATCAAACAATGGACCACAAAAAGGAAAATAACTTATGCTTCATCTCCCCTCCCTTATAAAGATGTGTAATTTAGCGAGAAAAAAAGAAGTAAGATTGGATGTACTTTTTGCAGGTTAGTGAATCTTTTGCAGAAATGATGTTCAAACACGGGTTTGTGCATTGTGACCCCCATGCTGCCAACTTGTTAGTTCGTCCTCGGCCTGGTAGTGGAAAGAGCTTTCTAGGTGAGAAACTACTTTGTTGTAGAGGCTATCATTTGAGAATTTTTATAGTAGTGGCTATCATTTGAGAATTTTTATAGTACTTTGCTTTCTATGGTAACCACAACTAGAAGTAAACCATGACCTAGTTCTATGGTATTATGATATTCAACTCCATTTGTTTGAGAGCTAGTTGGCCGGTCATCTTCATGATATCTTATCATGCTATGCTTGTGGGTCACAAGGATGATTGTAATGCTGCTGATAAACTGTTTGGTAGTATATTTGTGTATTTCTCAATCATATTTGGGGTCTTCAAGACTCACTGTTGTGCATAAGGTGCCACAAGTTGCTGTGTACTTGTGGTCGTAATAGTAAAGCACAATATATGCAGACCTTCAAGACTCACTTAATTATTTTCCCTGACTTCTCATGTACAGGAAAGAAAGAACCACAATTGATACTTCTAGACCATGGTCTGTATAAAGTTCTTGACTCCGAGACCAGAACTAACTATGCTGCACTATGGAAGGTACACCATTGCTTTTCTTGAGTTAGTTTTCTTCCATATTGTAGCAACTTACTTTGCTGCATTCTCTAAGTTATTATGATTGTTGCAGGCATTGATTTTTTCTGATGCCAATGCAATAAAAGAATATAGTGCAAAATTAGGTGCTGGAGAGGACTTGTATGCATTATTTGCAGGGATTCTTACCATGAGGCCTTGGGATAGGGTCATTGACCCAGCCATTGATCATTTGATTATACAAGGCACTGAAAGCGACCGTTCCGAACTGCAGGTGAGCTCTTGCAGTTATATAAGAGCTTTTGCCTGATTTATATGCTGTTACTGTGTTGCTGATAAGTTCTTTTGTGTATTGGGACTTTTTTCACTGACCAAAAGCGACTTACTTTGGAGCGTTGCACTTGCAATTAAGTTCTTTTGTTATGTGATTGATGTTGTTGGTATATAATCATACTTTACTTCTCTCACTGCTTGAATGTCCCTCTGTTTCATTTTCAGATGTATGCTTCTCAGTATTTTTCTCAAATCTCACAGCTTTTGAGGAGGTTGCCGCGCGAGATTCTTTTAATGCTGAAGACAAATGATTGTTTGCGATCAGTTAGCAATGCTCTGGTATTGCTTTGCTGTTATTTCTTTTGCTGATACCATTGAAAACCTGGTTATAGTAAGATGAGCATGTTTTTCTTATACTGCTGTTGAATACACGTAGCATTTTTTGCCTTCTGCATAAGCTGTATGTCAAACATCCTTACCATGCACCCATTGAGTTTTAACTATATAGCTTTGTAATCTTAAATTTGTCAAATTATGCGAGTCAGATTTCAGTTGTTGCAGAAAAATTAACTTAAGCATCTATCATAAGGGAGCTGTTTTCTATTTTAAAATTTTTTAATTTTTGAGCTCGAACCTGAAATGCTTCTCAAACAGTTGCAGGTACCTTCTCTTGAGACATTCATGATCATTGGAAGGGTTTCTTCTGAAGCCATCATTGAGGCAAAACTATCACAAAAGAGATCCTTCCTACGTTGGTTGAGTGCTTGGTTAGACAGAATCATATTAGAAGTTCGACTTTTTACAATTCAAGTAGCATTGTGGCTTATACGGGGAAGGAGAGCTTTATCTTGGGAAATCTGAGAAGATACTGCAGAAACACAATTTCTTTGACTTGCGAACTCAGGAAACCCAAAGTTTGGTGAAATTATGGTTACTTCTTTGTTCATTACCCAAAAATGGGCATACACATTCTTTGTCTCCATAGATCAAGCCGCTTCATCTACAAGCGGGGTCTCTGAAAATGGATTGACAGGTGATTTTTTATCGCAACAGAAGGAATAAATGATTTGTATTGTATCTTTTTCGTTTTATACGTAATTATTCTCAATGTCCTCTGGAATCTGATCTATGTTTAGAAACCCTTTGATGGGAGAACTGTATATCGGAAGCAGATTATTTGCTAGAGATATTAGTTACAAACTTATATGCACAGAGAGATTTTAAACTTTTGAACCGATTCTTTCACAAATGAGTTGTACATTACATTCTTATTTGGATAATAAAGCTTCTTGAGTTACTCATATGAGTTATATCTTGACCTCATCCGTATTCTGGTTGTCGAAAACACACATGAACCAGGTGTTCTATGCAGTGTGCCCAAATCCCTTGCTTCACAACATGCTTCTTAAATGCGAAGGCTCCATGGCAAAGGGGTTGTTTGGCTGCAGACTGAGGTAAGCCTCTTGAATGCCTAGCATGCATATGAGTAGTGCTTGGATTTGGCAATGCTAGGATCAGTCGACTCTGTGTGCGCCGAACTTGGTCATTCATGCCTGTGGAGCCCACAAAGCAGGAACGGCCAGAATCAACGCACATACGCGACCGATCTTAGCACAGTAGCAGTCCGCATCCTAACATTGACCATGTCCATTGCTGGAATAAGTGGTTGGTTTTATTTAATTTTCAGCAGTGTCCATGTTATTTAGGAATGGTAACTATAGGGAATGGATGGGAATAAATGCCACTTCTGATAGTAGTTGGTTTATTAATTCCGGTAGGTGTTATTGCCTTATTACCCCCTTTTCCAATCGTTTCCAATCGTTGTCCTAGCGACTAAACTTCAACTAAACTATTGTCAATTGCTACTTTTCTTTGCTTATAAATTTTTTGGTTGAGTGTGAATTATAGACCCTTTTGGATTGTGAACATTGGCAACAAGAAGTGCACACTTTTGCTTCACCCTTCCATGGAAGTGTAACCTCCAAAGAAAACGACCGCAACTTTGATCGGTCCATGCTATACTTAGGTCAGTTGGAATTGCTTTGGTAGGAAACACTTTTCCTTATTTATGTCAGGCACTGCTAGAAGGGTTTTTCAGTATTTGAAAGCGCTTTTAGTCATTCCTACGATTTCCAATTCGGACCCTGGTTGTTTCCGTCTAACATTTATGATTTCCCTAGCAGAGAAGTACAAGGTCAGTGCTTGGTAGATATCGTACGTTGGGTATTGAAATCTTTGTTTGGTTGATAGTTGGTATTTGTTTGAAATTGAATATTACAACTAGATACCCAAGTCCCCATAAAAAAAACAGATGATAGTAAAGAAGATGAAACAAGTCATAAATGGGAAGGGCTGGATGGTCGGCCAAGTTTGGTGGCCTATTTGGTATTTACCAGCTTCACCTTCTTTTACGTACCTACGTCAGATTGCTTTTATTTTTCATTGTTATGAGATTTCTTCTAACTATAAGCATTTTTTGACAACTAAAATCGCTATTGAATGTGTTCTGGCTCTTAAAAGCACTTTCTAAAAAAGTATGGGCTCATAAGTGTTTTTAAAATGACTGGAAGGGTTATAGGTAGAAGTGCCTTTAGGTTTCAAAAACATTTGAAGTGCGTTTTGGAAGAAACATCAGTTATATACTTTTTGCCAGAAGCATTTGAAGTGTTTCTCCTAAACTCACTTGCATTTTTATTAAGGATTAGTTTCAAAAACACTTTTATCAAAAGTGCGTTAAGTTATTTTAAAAGTACTTTTTAATTTAGTTAAAGGCTATATCCTAAAGTGTTGGCCTGCCTCTATAAATAATAAAATAGGTGAAATCATATTAACACACTAATTAGCAAACAATGAGAAGCTTTCATCTTAATAATGCAAGTTTGTGTTGTTTGCAATGCTCTATTTTGAGGTTTGTGTAGTTCTTTTTTATAAAAGTCGGTCGAGGAGAATGTATGTAACAAGGATGGGGCAGTGATTTGGAGAGGGAAAGTGACTTGTATGGGCAAATAATTAAGTCTTTTGCCTAACCTTCATGTGAGGGGCAGTGATTTGGAGAGGGAAAGTGACTTGTATGGGCAAATAAACAAGTGTCATATGAGGGAACTATCTTCCATTTCTATAATTTTGTGGCATAATGTGAATACTAGTCAATTATTTTCGTGAGAAAACTACGCTAAAAACAATAACGGGAAAATATTAGGGAGGGAGAGCTTGAGTTGAAACTTTTTAATTTAAAACTATAGACTTAATTATTTGGTACTCTTTAAAAAGAGCTAGAAGTGTATATCGGTTGTAAAATACTTTAAGTACTTTTTTAACAAGTATATAGGCTCCTTTTAGTCCAAGTTTATACAAAATCCATCTCCGATCAAGAGTCAAAATAAGTATGCTAAAAAGAATCAGGCTTAAATTTAGCCAAAGGTTGGATACCTATACCAAGCCCTCAAGCCCCTCGACAGGCTCCAACGCGTACATTCCAAACTAAAGATTTAGTCGGATGAAAAATATAATTCTACAATATTGTCTTCTTTTTTTATCACAAGATATATATTTAAATGTAATCAAAGTCGAACATCGCCACCCACCTTAGCGGCCAATACATTGGATACCTAACTGGGTTCGAAACGATCCCATTGATACCTAGCACCTTCCTTGGGTTGGTTTGGTATTGCTGTCCTTTAAAAAAAAGAAAACTAATGAAAATGACTTGAAAACTTTGAGTTTTAATGATAAGGATAAAATAAAGGGTAAAGTGAATAGTACAATGATTGATTTTTTAGTGTAAAAATGTGGTTTTTCGTTAAAGTGAACAGTACCATGTGCTTTTCGTTAAAGTTCATTTTAAAAAAAGCTGCTTCTGCTGTGTTGTGAGAATAAGCGGCTGTGAAATAAAGTTGTAGAGTATTTGGTAAACTTTTTTGTAAAAATGTTTTTGAAAAAAAAAAACAGTATTATAGTGTTTGGTGAACTTTTATGTAAAACATATGTGAAAAAAGCCGGCTTTTCAAAGTTGGGTTTTGCAGCTTCTTGTTTTTGGCTTTTTTTCACCCAAAACTGTGAAAAAAAACTGAAGCTGAATGTTTACCAAATACAAAAAAAAAACTAGGAGCTTTTTTTTATACCAGTTTTTTTCAGAATGATCTCAGTACCAAACCAAGCCTGGGAAACATAAGCACCCACTACATGTGCACCCTCATTACAACATCGGGGAACAACACGAAACACCGTCTTGAGAAGCCAAGATGCCTTCATCGATGCGTCTTGACCGGAGATGACCTAACGGAATTAACCAAGGGCTATGTATAGCCTTCCATGACGGGAGATGGCCTGACGGAATTAACCTTGTTTCTCTTTCTTTGGTTGTAACTCCGTTCCTCCCCACAACGTAATTACCATAACGGTTTTGTCATGACTCATCATGTCGTTACTCCTTTTATATACGAACAGTACAACCCCAAATAAAAAACAAAATTACGAGGAACATTGATTGCGACAACCCACTAATTACATAACATCATTTGCTTGCACCCAGCTGCCCACCAAACCAAACTATTTCAGAGTAAACTCCGAGGTCGTCCTAGTCCTCCTCCTGCTCTTTACTCTTCCTACCAATTCCTCGTATTCTTCCTCCTCTTCTCCCTCCTCGTACATTCCCGTGCTTTTAGAGAGAGGGAGAGAGATGGTCGGACCGGCAAGGCCCTTGTTTGTTCTGTTCGGATCCTCCATTGTTCAGATGAGCTACGACGTCGGCGGTTGGGGCGCAATTCTTGCCGATATCTACTCTCGTAGAGTTCTGTCTCTCTCACTCTCCCCACCTTTTTTGTTCTAATTTGGGTCGTCATTTTTCGCTGCGAAAATCAAGAAACAAGTCTAAAGTTGCAATCTTTGGGTTCATTTTGCTGATTGGGTTTGTGATTTTTTGTAGGCAGACATATTGGTGCGTGGTTACTTTGGTTGGAATTCACGGCGTGCTGTAAATGTCCTTGATCAAGTCTTTCCCAAGGTAATTATGCTTTTTTAGCTGAGAAGTTGCTTGTCTTTTCTGTATGTGTTTGTCAAGGAAAAGTAATTTAGTGATTTGAACCCGCCTTTTTAGTCCCTCCACTCGTTGTGAGTGCTACTGCAGAGAAAGATTTTTAAAATATTCGATTTGGAGTGTACACGGTTAAACTTGGAGTGCGAAAATCGCTACCTTTCGAGAATATGGTAAACCAACAAAAATCTTTGTTAAAGAGAAACAAGAGATGGGTTTGTTTGTGTTGAGGAGTAGATTATCTCATTCTCTTTATATTAAAGTAATTTAGAATACCGTCTCGTAAAAAGGAACATGTGTGTCGAAGATTATATTGCTTGTTTGTACTCTTATTCCTTAATAAATGGCATGTTTTTGGGCGTTAATATTATAAGATTGCAAACTTAGATATTTTATTTGTTTATACTTTCATTTAGGCATTTTTTTGGGTCAAATATTTATGCTTCAATAAAGTACACGGTGGTCTGACTCCAATGTTGCATTTGTGTTTTTGTTATAGGATGCCGCTGTAAAACCTTCTTTGGTGATAGTTTATTTTGGTGGTAATGATTCTATGGGGCCTCATCCATCCGGCCTTGGCCCTCATGTCCCGCTTCCTGAATACGTCGAGAACATGAGAAAGATTGCAATTCATCTGAAGGTAGTTTCTTCATCTATGTTAAGATACATGCCTTTGAATTTCTGAACCATCTGTTACATGAATTCCATTTCGGCATCTATTGTTTTTCCTAGGCTCCACCGAAATTGTTGTTTGCATTGTTCGGAAGTAGACATAACGGAATCAACCGTTTATTTAGCATATCACAAGTCTCTAATGCGAATGGAAGCTTAAACAAGTAGCCAAATTTGTTTTCAGGAAACAATAGGGGTCGATTTTTGAACACTTGAGAACGATAATTATCCAGAATCATGTATCTTTTATGTGGTTGCAGTAATTCGATTCTGGTTTTGTTGCATATGTGTTTCCTGTAGGGTCATCCTCAAACAAAAGAATAATGTGCTTGCATATCTAAGTGAAAATATTGATGCATTCTAACACGGTATATTTGATAACCAGAGCCTTTCAGATTCAACGCGGATCATCTTTCTTAGTTGTCCTCCAGTGAATGAGACCTTAATTAATGGAAGCTCAAGGTACTCAGATGCAACTCTTGTGTTTATAGTTAACCTTATCATATGTCTATGGCAGTGTCCCTCATATCATTTTTCTCCTCTTTAAAAGCAGCGGGATTTTCAGTGAGATTATAAGAACCAACGAGTTATGCCAACAGTATTCAGAAGCTTGTATAAAGCTGTGCCAGGAAATCAATGTCCCATTTGTTGATCTTTTCACTGCATGTCAGAGAAAAGATGACTGGAGAAATGCTTGTTTTACGTATGTTAACTTGGCCCTTTCGCTCTCTCATTTTTGTTATCTGTTTTGACATTTGTATCATTTGCTTTAAATCATCAATTTTCCCTGCCTAATATCTTAGCGTCCTCATGTACTGGATAAGTTATATATATACTTCTGAATCATCAATTGCTTAGTCCCCTGATATACCTTGCGTATAATATTTTAGCTAGTATGGTCATATATGTAATATGTAATGGAGCGATGATTTATATAGACGATTAGCCATAACCTGTACGGTTGATTTGCTATTACAAATTTACACATTCATGCATCTTGCATTCTTGCTACATGTTTGCTTTTCAGCACACGTATTCAAGCCCTTGGTTGATTCAGTTGTGAAGATTTTGTTTTTTCAGTTAATAGCTCATACACTAACAAATCCATACATTCGGGAAGAAAACACTTAATATCCTCTCCTCAGATAGGGTTTCCATCCTCCATCCATCGCGAGTAAATGTCTAGATGATTTTTGTCATATGGTAGTCGTTACGAACCAATTCAAAGTAGCGATGAAATACCATGATCACCGTTCAGATATCTCTTTGAGATGTATTCCTTCCGCTTTTTCCCGGAGGAGAGTACGGTGTCATTCTGCATCTTTATACTGAACCCCGCCATTAAAGTAGTTTAGCTTTGAAATAAATCTCTCTTAATTTTTTTAACGTATCTCCGCTTATCTTTTTCCAGAGACGGGATTCATTTTTCAGCAGAAGGGAGCAAAGTAGTGGTGGAAGAGATACTCAAGGTACTGAGAGAAGCTGACTGGAAGCCAAGTTTGCACTGGAAATCAATGCCGATAGAATTTTCAGAGGATTCACCGGATGATCTCGTTGCTGCTGACGGAAAGACAACGTTAAATCCTTCCAGCTGGACTTATTACAGGGAGATTCAGTGGGACTAGTTCGCTGAAGGGGAATGATTTCCGCACTCTTTCTTTTTCCTCTAGCCTTTAGAATCAATTGACAGCAACAAGTGGAGGCAGAAGGACACAAAGGAAGTGCGAAAATCACTACCCTTGCGGAATCGTGTTTCACCGGCGTTCCCATGGTGGAGCTCTGCCATCGAAGGTTGAAGTATGTAATGAAAGCCGAAAATAAAGGAGGGGTTGAAGTATTTTATGCACATTGGTAATTATATTGAGGTATTGGAACCACTGGTGAATACTTTGTTATAACTTCTTTTGTTGAAGCATTGTGAAGTTAATATAAATAGCCCAAAAGATTTATTTAAAACTCAATCATGAAAATTAAAACAAAAACCTAATTTCATTTGTGTTTTTTAGAAAATGGAGTCTAAATAAATAAATTTCGGAAAATATACATAATCTCTATAAAGTTTACTAGAATTCATATCTTTCTTGCTTGGGAGCCTCCCGATATTGGATGGTGAGAGCTTAGGGCGTGTTTACGTATCCGTAATAATCAGAATGTGGAATTGAATTCCGATTCTGACTTCTCCTCATTCCAATTCCTCCTCAATTCAATTCATCTTATTTTCATTACCGTTACGTAAACGTGCCATTAATGTTGATGGTTGGGGGAATTTTCTGCTAATTTGGGTAGGAACAAGTTATTAAGGCAAAGATTTGGAGTTTGTAGTTTGGCCTTAAGCTCACTTTGGACAAAGGTGTCTTTAGACTTATTATTTAGATGGATTAAGTGGGTGCGGTCAACTTGATTAAGCAAAATATGGCACATGATTTTCACCTCTCCATACAATTTTGAGCAGCTGCAAAAATACGATGGGTCAGCTGAAGCTTTATGGATCTGGGGTTGCATTTTCATGATCCTCCTATGTGGATTGGAATGGTGTTGATGGATGATTGCTTAGGAATCTCCAAGGCTCGGTTTTTCTGTTATCATGTTGTTTTATAGTTTTTTTATTTTTATGTTTAATCCCTTATTTTATCTTAATTTTGTTTGGATGTTTAATCCCTTATTTCATCTTAATTTTGTTTGGATGTTTAATCCCTTATTTTATCAAAAAGAGAGAGGACAGAAATGGTGAAACATTTAACATATATATTTTACACTAAGGGAAGATAGGAGTTCGGCTAAACAATACAATGGGCAATCTAATTTGGTACTGAATTCGTCATTTCTGCCTAATATCTCCAAGGCTCGGTTTTTCTGTTACCATGTTGTTTTATAGTTTTTTTTTTTCGCTCAATGTTGTTTCTTAATTTTGTTTGGATGTTTAATCCCTTATTTTATCAAAAAGAGAGAGGGCAGAAATGGTGAAACATTTAACATATATATTTTACTCTAAGAGGAGATAGGAGTTCGGCTAAACAATATAATGGGCAACCTAATTTGATATTGAATTCGCCATCCACAAGATTCGAACTTAAGACATCTTATTTACAAGTGAAGAAGAATATCACCAGACCGTAATACTAAGTGGCACAAACCCACTTGTTATGTTTGTTATTTTATATGTTTTTATTGAAAAAAAAATTAAAAAATCATTTTTAGTTTAACATAAAAAAGGTCAATTTGCGCTACGTGTGCCAAGAGAGAGATTTTTCCACACGAGATGGTACATTATGTGTCCCTATATAAATGATAGATTATGTGTGTTAAAAGGTTAATAACTTAAAAATTAAAAAATTTCACCACTTGTGTAAAAAATTGTGATGGTACACTATCTGTATTTCCGTCACAACTAAAAATCTCTGATGCCAAGAGACTAGATGATAAAATGGTAATGTCTATGACGAGACACGTGGTCATTTAAAAGTTAAAGCCATCTCATTAATGAACATTCTACATAATGGTACACCGCATCACACTGGAGCATTTCATCTCTCAATATTTTTTAGTTTCCCTCCTTTTTATTTTTTGGATCGTCTTCTTCCCTCCCGTTTTGTTTAATCTCTCTCTCTCTCTCTCTCTCTCTCTCTCTCATCGGCCTCAGATTTCACCCCTGAAACAGAGAGCGAAACAACAACCCAGGTAAATACTAGTATTTCTAACTCTATTCTTTAATTCCGCTGCGAATTATGCTCTTGTTTTTATTGGATTTTAGATCATTTTATTTCCGAATTTTTGTCTCGCTATGTGAAGCTGTAGATTCATGGTTGGCCTGATCTGATTCTTGCTTTTGAAGCTAGTGTTAGTTGGATTTATATTTTCGACCAACTGGGTGTTTGTGGGTTTCGTTTCTTTTTTCAGAATTTTCTGTCTTTTCCTAAATTATCTGTACTTCTTCCATGAAATCAATAAGATGGGTTTGTTGCCTGCAACGTGTTTGTCAAAATGCTTCAGAGAGTTCATAACTTGTTGGTATCTGGAATCCTCTCGCTTTGGCAATTGTTGAAATAGGAAATCTTGAATCTGTTGGCTCAATATATCTGTAGAACCCAAATAGGCATTCTAACCCCAAATTTTGGTTTTCAAATACATCCCAAGTACTTATGTCACTGGAATATGGGAAATCCTATTCCGGAGCGGTTCAGATGGTTCAAAGATTTATGCTTTTGCAAAGTCAAAGATCGTTTATTAAACAAGAATGTGACAATTTTATGCCTATGATTTGTTTGTCATTTTGGGTTTTGGTGGCTCGAGAGATGATAAGATTGGAAGGTTCAATTAGTAAGGTTTTTGAAATTGGTCTTTGTTGCTTCAGGAATCTGTTTTGGAGAAGCAGGGGACGTTACAAGGAAAGTGGGATCTTTCCTGAATATGGCTAACTACTATGACATTGATGATATTATTATGGAGCAACAGGTTACTTCCCGTCTCTTCGTATCCTTGAAATCTAAAGTGCATCTGCTACATTTATTTAAATCTGTATTCTAAGCATTATTTCTGTTTCCAAGCAGCTCGTCCCGGTTGTTTTCCATAAAGCAGTAAATGGTGTGGAGATTGATCCTAGTGCTGAAACTGATTATGTAAGTGATCAGAGTGGGTTTGGAGCGGATAGCCTTTGGTGAAAAGGATGTGCTCTTATATCTTCTTGGGTTTGTATTTCAGGTTGAAGCCGGTTCAAAGGTAGAGCTGCCTTTATGGCTTGCTTATGAGTTACACCTCAAACAAGTAGTAAAGATGAAGGTTCCTGCCTGTTTCAATCACAGGTATGATATCATATTATAAGTTCGTTTAACATTTTTAAATGGCCAATTTGGTTTGGGCTGAGTTTAATGGCCAGTTTGGTTCATTCAACAGTTTCTGGCCATGGTCATGGAGATTCATTTTGTTCTCAGGCTCGAAATCTGATATCCGTACATTTCTTGTCTGTGGTATACAAGATATTATGTTTATTCGTCATATCTTTGAATGTGCTTAGTTGCCACTGACCAATTACAATTGCTGCCATTCTGTGGGATGTGTAATTTTAGGAAAGCATGAAGAACAACTCACGTGATTCAAGTTCAAAACTAGCGATAGCTATATATCTAACACTTGTACATTTTTTTTTATCAGAACAAAGCTGGAACTTGGGGCTGATGGTGCAGCAGTAGATTTGAGATCTCGATGTCTATACTTCTATGAATTTGGATGCAAGATAGCACCATTGTGAGTCTCTCTCCTACTGATTTCCTGTATACATAATTCAATCGGTATGTTCTCTTGATGTAATTTATCTTCTAATAGGCACATTTTTAATAAAAATCACTCTTAATGTGGTAGAGGGTTGAGAAAATGGTACATGACAAGGACTCCCATGGATAAACTTGTTTTCACAGTAACTTGTCATGATCTGGTTCTTCGTCAATCTGAAAGAGAAAATAATTCCGCAAGTAATCCAGTTTCTCCAACATTGTGTGTTCATGCTATTAAAAAAATTTCCGGTCATGAAATTAAAACTCCCGTAATTTAGATTAGATTAGAACATCACTGGTAAATGTGACTAATATTTTCTTTATTTTGTGCAATCATTTGGATGGACAGGATTGGTGACAGAGACATGGGATCTTTCCTATTATCTGCATTCAGAACCAGGTACCAGCAAATACTGGCAAAGGCACATAATGCAGCATTTACGGCACCTTCGAAATTGTTGAGTTTCTTAACAAAAGAAGAAACCAACTGTAAGATTTATATTACATTTGTTTTTCTTTTTTTTGGGTTACGCCGGAGGGAATCGAACGCTTGACCTATGTGTATCTCTTTAGTCTGTTTGACACAGAATGTGTTTACAAATTACAATTGCAGTGTATGAGGCGGCTCAATCCTCAATGGCAGCCTTCAAGAAGTGGCGGATCGGCGGCCCCCGATTCGAAAGAGCTTCTGTTCTTGGGAGGAAGAGGAAATCAACTGACTAGTCGATCCATCTTTTTCTGAATCGTTACCTCAGTTTGTAATTTTTCCCGAAATGTATCAGTTCTTATAGTGTTCTCCAAACACCATTTTATAAATTATGAAGTTTATTTCGCGGTCCCTAACTCACGACGGGTAGAAATGGATTGTGTTCGAGCTTACTTATATGTCATGTTTTTATCAATTTACGAGTTTATTGACATGCAAGATGAGAAAAGGCTTTGTATTTTATAAGATCATTTTTAAAATAACTGAAAGCGCATCGTTTTTTATCAGAAGCGTTTTTAATCATTTTAAAACTCATATTATCTTGCTACCCAAACAGCAATTTTCTCCTTTCAACCTTAACCAAACATACTGCTTCTTCTCCCACGTCAAAGACACAAACATACATCTTCACTACCATCACCAGAAACCATCCTCTTCCACCACCATTAGCCCCCCCCGTCCTTCACCCCTCGTCCGTCGAACCCAGCCCCAGTCCCTCCTCTCAATTTCCCACTCCGAGTCTTGTAAGTTAGTCTAACTGGAAGGTGACGAGGGTGCGAATTTCTGACGGCAAAGGCAATGGAAGGAGGAAGATGGATGTTTGGATATGGATTGAAAGTGAGCTGCCTGCTGTTTGGGTAGAAAGATAATATCATTTTGGGTGAGAGTTTGATACGACAGGTGTAAGCATTTTATTGGGCTACATAGGAGAGGCAGTTTACCAGAGGAAAATGATCATCGCCGATCATTTTCCTGAAGATCTTAAGAATCTTATGATTATGATCGTACATCATTGATCAATATGACAGGTTGGCTTGTCCGTCTGAAATTGTTATTTGTCACAATTTTCTTATCGGTGCATATTTGTATATTTGTATATTTACCTTGTCCCCAAAACCCAAAACAGGAAACAACAAACGACAAAACACAGAGCCGACCGATGCGCCCGCATTTTTCACGCACATGACCTCCCGCGATTCATCTTCCGGAGCCGAGTCGAGCATGGACTACTTCAGCCACGAATCCCCAACCAAACGCACCGTTCCGGCCACCGCCGTCTTCGATCAAGACGAGGAAGCCGACGATTCGGAGCTGTGGGACCAGTTCAACCGCAGGTTCAGCGAGGTCCAGTCCTTACTGGATCGCAACCGCTCCCTGATCCAGCAGGTCAACGACAACCATCGGTCTCGGATCGCCGACAACATGGTCAAGAACGTGGCGCTTATCCAGGAGATAAACGGCAACATCTCCAAGGTCGTTTCTCTTTACTCCGACCTCTCATCAAATTTCTCCACCTTCTTTCACCACCACAACGCCTGCAAAAATGCCGAGGACGGCGGTGCCGAGCCCGATAACTAGTGTCGTTTTTCAGTAGAATTTACTCCGATCCCGACCACTTGGAATTTGAGTTGAATCTAATAAATCCCAGCTAGGTTTTTACAGTGTTATTACTGTTCTTATTTTTAAAGTTTATTTTCCCCATCTGGTCAATAAATCAGTGAAATATTAATATTTGGTGTTTAATTTTATGAATTTTTTTTTTTGGAACTGCAAATTTAGCATATATAACGGAAAATACTTAGCTCGTTACACGACATATCCACTTTGTCATGTAAGCATAAACTTTTCTTTTTGTAATTCTAACGAGTTACACATGTACATGCGTCGAGCTACAATTTGCAAACACGGAGTCATTGATCCTTACATGTGAGGAGCGAGATTCGAACTTAGATCAGAAGTTACTGAATCGAAACTCTTTAGTGGTACATGTATCAGTCTTGTGCAACATAAGCATATAGTGGTTGTACAGCTTTTTTACATCTCGTTCGCCGCCCGTTCGCAGCTTGTCTGAAAGGTTAGTGTACACTGTGTGGTTACATTGGAAGTTCGCCGCTGTCGGTGATGACAACCTTGCTCCTAGGTACCCCGTTCGCGTCTCCAACTTCTTCGACTTTGTACACTACGTCCATCCCGGAAATCACCTTGCCAAATACGACGTGCCGCCCATCCAACCTTTCAAGAAAAGCAGAGCGAAATGCAGGCATGTAAGTTTTATAAACATTTCATTCGGATACATGTTCGGTTCCCAAATCGAAATATGCATGCCAAAATCATAACCTAGTTCGGAATCATACGACCGGATTGATCTAGTTTCAGTTCTAGGAAAGGATTGTTCAAATGGTAATTGAGACAAGTCGGCGTTTGGGATAAACAACTTAACAAAATTGGTATCAAAACTACAGGTATTCCAAGAAACGTCGAAAAAGAAACCTACCAATCAGTTTTGACTGTTGTAATGAAGAATTGTGATCCATTGGTGTCTGGCCCAGCATTTGCCATAGAAAGAATACCTGTTTTTCAGGCAGCAAGTCGAATTCAGATAGAGTAGTAATGCATTTCCAACATATACAGTTAAACTTCACTGAAAGGAGAACTTTTGCATGAACAAACTACTCAAATACAAGGCAGATTTTACTTGCCTGACCCTGTGTGCTGTAGTTTGAAGTTTTCATCTGCAAACTTATCACCGTAAATTGACTCACCACCTCGCCCATCACCGAGAGTGAAATCACCTCCCTGTATCATAAAGCTGGGAATAATCCTGTGAAATGTACTGCCCTTGTAGTGAAGAGGCTTCCTACTTGTTCCAGTTCCTTTTTCCCCTGAAACCCGAGAGGCTCACTAAAGTTGAAAACAACACAAAATCTGTAGCTTCCATGCAAATAATCACAAGATTACAGATAAGGGAGCTAAAGTTACTTGTTTACCCGTACAAAGGGCTCGGAAATTCTCTGCATTTACAACAGAAACTTTGGTTAACTCTTTCCATGGCAGTGATATCTCAACAGAAACTTTAGTAGTAGGCTGTGGGGTACCAACCTGTGGTTTTAGGGACTGTTTTTCCAAAGAGACCCATCACAATGCGACCTTAAAGAAAACAAAATATCAATAATTTCAATCAAACACCACTTCTCTGCCAAATAATTTACAACAGCTGAATGCTGATACACAAAACACAAAGTTCTTATATTTAATTTAATCTTATCAATTATCGGAGGAAATTAACGACTACCTTGCTCACAATTAATTGATGAACATGAACAATATCAAGGAAACAACATTTTCTCTGCCAAATAATTTACACCGGCTGATGAAACAAAACACAAACTTCTTAACTTTAATTTAATTGTATCACTTAGTGGAGGAAATTAACAACTAAAAGTTCAATTAAACAACATTTCTCTGCCAAGTAATTTACAAATACAAAGTTCTTAACTTTAACATATTTATAAATTATTGGAAGAAATCAACAAATACCCAGAAAATGTATGCTCATAAATTGATTAAATCGTCAATTAAATTAGCAGATTAAGAATTCATTTCATACCAAAGGGTTTTCCATTTATTTCGATATCGAAGTAACCTTTGTGAGTCACTTGCTCCAAATCGCTTTCCTGCCAAAACACAGAAGCACCCAACAAACGTAAGTAGCTCCGTTGGTTCCCAAAGAAAACTGGCGGGTGAGTTCCCCACCTCACGGAGCTCGCTTTTGACAACATTCGGCTCGTTCAGAGCTCCGTCGCCGCCGAGTCGGGTCTGAAATCGAATCGCAAAACAATTCCTAAAAACAATTCGGAGAGAAGGGAAGATTGCAGAAATTGAGTTATGCAATTGGAAGAGAGAGGTGATGGAGTTTTTACCAGGATGAATACTAAGGCGCCGAAGAGGAGTAGGACCCACAAAAGAGCCGCCGAAAACAGCCTTCTTCCCGTCGTCATCCCGGTCCTTCCTCTGCAGCTGCGGACTTGTCAGCTGAGATGTGAGTCTGTTGACTGTGAGTGGACTCTGTGTGGGCCTGTTGACTGGACTAAATGTTTGTTTGGGCCCAACTAGCAGACATTTTCTCTTTGTTTGTATTTGAGGGATTCCATGGCCGGCCACCCTAGGATGTTATTTGGACACCCTTAACATGTCCAAAAATGTCAATTTCATCCTTTTGGTAATAATTGTACCTCTCACACACTCTTGTTAATTTTTGTCATTAATCTTCTTCGATTTGTTTGATCTGACGATCGAAAATTGAGAGATGTGTGTGAAAAATAAAATCGCACATATTAGTGTGTTATAACCTCTTTTTACTTGGCAGTAACATTATTAATTTGGGGATAAGTTCCGCTTAGGAAAGTTTTTCTACGCATGTTTCCTACCTCTCTCTCTCTCTCATCATCTTGCATCACGTGATTTATACGTAACATTATTCTAATATTCCAAATGAGAGAAACTCTCATGAAATGTGTTATATAAGTTGTTAACATACACAAGAGAGTATGAAAAACGTGATAGGTAAGTTTTTCTCCATAATCAAACTAAATTACTCAGAATTAACGAAATTTTGTAGTGTTATTGACGAAATTTTTAGTTATTAAATATTTCATTGCATTTTTTATCACGAATTTAACGATTAAAAATTCATTACCCCGAAGAATACTAAGAAATCCCATATAATTTAATTATTCGTTAGAAATATTGAATGCAGTGTACCGATAAGGTGTCACTTTTCTTCCCTTGTTTGCAGTTTTCATATGGGAGTGTGGATTTGTCCAATGCTTCCAACTTTAAGTGGATCCAATACCAAGTCATTGTCAACTTCTGCATTGTTCAGATTCTGCCTCTTCCCCATTTATGAGAAAAAGTAATGGTGAAGAGACTCTCTCAACTTTTTATGGACTTTTCATTGTTGAAATATTATATATCGATCGTATTTATGAGAAAAAAATAGTTTAAATATCTTAATTTCATTTTAATTATTTAGAAAAAAAATTGATCTCGACCCAGAAAAAAGATCAAAAATTTTTATGATAAAACCTCACTCTCTTTGATAATTCTATATCTACCGCTCATATTTTTGACAAAATATCTATGAAGAATTTAACTTTTAAGAAAGTCTTAAAATATACGAAATACTATGTACTACGGAGCACCTAAGAATTATTAGATTTATATGTCCAATGTCTTTGTGAATTGGTAGCTGTAATAGGCAGCTTTATCTTGTACCATTGTTATTGTATTCGCACTTGCTACTATAAAATATACTCACACTCACCAATGCTAATATATAAAGAAGGACTTTACATTTTATTTGGTATTTCACAACATTAAGTCAACTTCGTTACTTTAATTCCAAGCATAATATTTTTTATTTTCAAAAAAAGTTTAACCGATAGCTTCATCACGATAATCTACTCTTTCAAAAACTATGAAAACTTACAAAGGTATTTTAGCATTTCAGTAGCCACCATCATATGATTCACAAGTATTAAGAATTTACCCTAAAACATGCCGAATCCATCTCTAGCTAGTTTCCCATGGTGATTCCAATTGCCAAAATTAAATTTACTTTTTATTTTTGTCAAAGTTGAAAAGTCGTATCGAGTTATGTTGTTGTCGTTTTTTCCCCTCCTTTCTTTAATCTGAAGAAGTTGCTTTTAGTTTAATCTGAAGTTTTTTTTTTTTTTTCTTTTTCTAATTTGATGGATGCAATGTTCTAGTTGTTACCTGTTAACGATCCAATTTTTAATTCAACCTGGTTAGGTGTTTACAGGGACGGTGCCACTCTATGGGGCCTTTGTCTCTTTCTAATTGCTCCAAGCAAGATAATGTAGCCTACTTAATTGATGACAAAATTTTGGGAATCTTCATTCTTTTGCGAGAAGAGAGCAAGGATTTTATAGTACTCTAACAATCAAGTCTTTATGTGTAATTTGATTTTTAGAAAAAAAAAATTACTATTTGTAAGGAAAAGGAAGATAGTTTGAAACTAATTTAAGAGAGAGAAGTTTCAAACCCGAGATGCGTGATAGAAATTCAACATTGTCCATTATGATATTAGACCACGTCATTTTCAAATGTTTACCCCGAACCCTAAATAATCAAAAGATTATGTGTGGTTCAACTTGCAAATCCTTCATCATTTTCAAATGTTTATTTTGCTTTGAGCTTCCCATTTTTACGGTTGATTTATTCACAATATTATATCAATTTTGATTTTTACCATTGGTCACTTCATCAACTTCGTTGATCAGTTTTTTTTTAATTAAAATTAAAATTTATTATTAATGGGAGAGAGATGTTTAAAACTACTACAATGATTAAGAGAAGAAGAAGTTTCGAACTCATGACGACGCATGTAAAAAAACTCAATATTCTATTACTATAATATTGCACAACATGTCGTTGCTCAGTTTGATATAATGATATTGCACTTTAGAAAACGAGTAAAAATAAATCACCGAATGATCAACAATGATAAATCTCTACTAATTAATGAAACACTCTTTGTTAATCAAAAGAGGGTGAAAAAATAAATTAGTCTTCTATCACACCCAAAAAGTGATGAGAATAATGTAATTTCACAGGTCCTACTGTTTTTTATTGAAGTCTCACCTACAGGTAATGTTAAAATACCTCCAATATTTAAAAACAAATTAAAAAAAAACAAAAACAAAAACCTT